AAAAAAGACTTATTTTCAATTATCTCTTTGTGTATGTCTGTATATATGTGCATGTGAGTACCAGTGCTCAGAGAGGCCAGAAGAGGGTGCTGGATCCACTGGAGCTGGAATTATAGGTGATGGTGAACTGCCAGATCTTGGTGTTGAGAACCTGAGGCTGGAGCCATCTGTTCAGTCCCTCAGTCTGGAATTCTTGAATTTCAGCTGGTGAGAGACTTAACCAGACTCCAGGGCAAGGGGCTCCATTCCCTTCCCATGTTCCCATAATTGTCCTACCCTGCCTCACTGCTCCTCTGTGTTTTCTGTCTTCACTGACAAAATGAGGTAAAAGTGCCTTGTTTTGGGGCTTTCAAGCTCTACAATTCTATGGCCAATGATCAAACAATGAACAACAGAGTATTCACAGAAGCAAACTCATGCAACTTCCTGTAGCCAAATTCTCAGAACCTAGAGGCTAACTTAGCTGAAGAAACTAGACAATTCAAAGGAGGTGTCATGTACACAAAAATATGAGCTATTTTCTGCTATGATCTAAACATGACCTGAAAAAAAAATATAAAGAAGATTTGATCATTTTTTATTACATTTATTTAGTGTATGTGTGTGCGTGTGTATACATGTATAGGTCAGAGGACAGCTTGTGAGAGTTAGTTCTCTTCCTTCACCCTGTGGGTCCCAGGGACTGAAATCAGGTTGTGAACTGGCCTCCAGCTCCTTAGGTAGCTGAGGATGACTTTGAACTCCTGATCTTCCTGCCTTTACCTTCCAAGTGTGGATACTGCAGGTTCGTGCTGCCATACTCAGCTAACATATATACTTTAGCACATGAACTTCTTGTCCCTGTTCCCAAGAATGAAAGATATGTCAGAATAATGACAATGAATAATCATAACCCTGGCTCTTTTTTTTTTTTCTTTTGAGACAGGGTCTTCCTGTAGCCCCAGCTAGCCTGGCACTCACTGTGTAGACCAGGCTGGCTTTAAATTCACAGAGATCTGCCTGCCTCTGCCACCCGAGTATTGGGATTAAAGGTGTGAGCTACCATGCCCGGCTATAACCCTAGACTTTAAAAATATTATTCCAGCAAAATGACAAAATTATGTATTTTCAAAATATAAAAATGCTTAAATGGTATAGTTATACTTAAAATTTTTTCCCTTTATTCAAACCATATGCATTTTGTTAGAATTTCAGTCCAAACAGTCTACCTGAGAGTGAGAGAAATGGACTGCTACTTGGCACTTAGTTTGACATTTAACTAAGTCACTCTCAAAAAGCAGTGTGGGCTGGAGATGTAGTTTAGTGGTAGATCATTTGCCCAGCATGTGCAAGGCCTTGGGTTTGAGTCCCAATAACTCAAAAAACCAACACCCCCCCCCCCCATAGAAAACCCAGTGTGGTCCCTCTATGCCCCACTCCTGTAATCTCAGAAGAGAGGATGATACCATTTTGAGGGCAGCCTGGACCACATAGTGAGACAGGAACAGCAGCAACTAAAGTGCCTTGGGATACCTTTATCTTGTAATTCTCAAGAGCCACTAGGACCTACACTTTAAAATTTTCTGGTTGTCTGTGACATCTGGTGGCCTTTCTACCTATGAGCCTGGAATGGCCTAGAAGGCCTCCTCCTCTTCCAAGTCAAAGCAGGATTTGGGACCCTAGGGTTTCAGTTCTTAAGACTCATATGTACCTTTCACAGGCTCCCAAATCTCATCTTCCTCTGTCTCTGTCTCTGATCTTTTGCTATAGCTACAAACTTGAATACCTCATGGGTAACAAAAAAGAATGAACAAAACAAAGCTCAAGGAAAAAGGACCGCAATTCAGACTTGGAGAACCCGGCTGGCCCACACTTCTCCTTTCCTATTTTGCATGGCTTAAGGGCATGCTCCTGAACAAAAGCCAAGCAGACCTGGGGGTGGGCGAACTCGATGAAAATTTACAGTTTTCGCGGTTTCCCAGGGGATGGGCTCAAATTCTTCCTTATCTTCCTGACCATGGCTTCCATTGCAGAACCTCAGGACAAGATTTTTAAAATGCTGGTGAAAACCAGGAGTCGCCTGGAGATGGGAGAATGTGGGGCCACAGACCTAAAGGCTGCTGTCTGTCTCTCGCCCTTTTAGACGCTACCACGGAGATGGGCCCTTCAAAATAGCAGCTGTGGTAATTTCCAGAAAGATCAGACATTTTAGCTCAGTAGGCAAAGGGCATATACCCCAATTGTTTTGTTAGGGGAAGAGGAATTTACTGTTTGTTTGAATATACTGCTTGCCTGAATTTACTGCTTGAACTTACATGTTTAAATTTACTGCTTGTAACCAATTAACTCAACTGGAGACACAGGCATCCAGAGATAGAGGCAAAGTGCTACATCCCCTGGAGCCTGACCTGTTCTGTGTCATGTCATGTCTGCTTACACAAGATAAAAAGAAAGAGTCATACCAGGCACATACCAATCATCTCTCCCCAATTGAGACACCTGAAGGGAGCTGTAACATTTTTCTTGTTTTAAAGTTATTGGTTTGTGAAATGCTTGCTTTGAAACTATTGGCTGTATAAACACAGGCTTTTGTGTAACGGTTGTGGGAGCCTATATAATCTTTACCTAAAATTGCCTCAGGGTCGATCGCTCTGACCAGACCTGCGTGTTTTGGGAAGGACGGTCAGCCCTAGCTAGCTGGTTTAATAAAACTCTGCTTGATTCTTGCATCTCCATACTCGTGCATTGTTCTCCAGAAGAGACCCACTGAGTCACGGACCCTAACAATTGGGATTAAAGGAGTGAGCTGCCATGCCCAGCTATAACCCTAGACTTTAAAAATATTATTCCAGCAAAATGACAAAATTATGTATTTTCAAAATGTAAAAATGCTTAAATGGTATAATTATACTTAAATTTTTTTTCCCTTAATTCAAACCATATGCATTTTGTTAGAATTTCAGTCCAAACATTCTACCTGAGAGTGAGAGAAAATGGACTGATACATAGAATCTACTTGGCACTTAGTTTGACATTTAACTAAGTCACTCTCAAAAAGCAGTGTGGGTTGGAGATGTAGTTTAGTGGTAGATCAGTAGATCATTTGCCCAGCATGTGCAAGGCCTTGGGTTTGAGTCCCAGTAACTCAAAAAACCAACACCCCCACCCCATAGAAAACCCAGTGTGGTCCCTCTATCCCCCACTCCTGTAATCTCAGCAGAAGAGAGGATGATACCATTTTGAAGGCAGCCTGGGCCACATAGTGAGACAGGAACGGCAGCAACTAAAGTGCCTTGGGATACCTTTATCTTGTAATTCTCAAGAGCCACTAGGACCTACACTTTAAAATTTTCTGGTTGTCTGTGACATCTGGTGGCCTTTCTACCTATGAGCCTGGAATGGCCTGGAAGGCCTCCTCCTCTTCCAAGTCAAAGCAGGATTTGGGACCCTAGGGTTTCAGTTCTTAAGACTCATATGTACCTTTCACAGGCTCCCAAATCTCATCTTCCCCTGTCTCTGTCTCTGATCTTTTGCTATAGCTACAAACTTGTAGACCTCATGGGAAACAGGAAGAACGAACAAAACAAAGCTCAAGAAAAAAGGACCGCAGTTCAGACTTGGAGAACCCGGCTGGCCCACACTTCTTCTCCTTTCCTATTTTGCATGGCTTAAGGGCATCCTCCTGAACAAAAGTCAAGCAGACCTGGGGGGTGGGCGAACTCGATGAAAATTTAGTTTTCTCGGTTTCCCAGGGGATGGGCTCAAATTCTTCCTTATCTTCCTGACCATGGCTTCCACTGCAGAACCTCAGGACAAGATTTTTAAAATGCTGGTGAAAACCAGGAGTCGCCTGGAGATGGGAGAATGTGGGGCCACAGACCTAAAGGCTGCTCTCTGTCTCTCGCCCTTTTAGACGCTACCACGGAGATGGGCCCTTCAAAATGGCAGCTGTGGTAAGTTCCAGAAAGATCAGACATTTTAGCTCAGTAGGCAAAGGGCATATACTCCGATTGTTTCTAAAAGTCCAAGGCTCAACTGGCCACATGCTCCAGCCCTTCGCGCTGTAATCGGACCGGTGGACACCTCAGCTAGTACAGCAAGAGCGCGTGAAATTACCTAGTTAATGCAAGCCCTGGGTCCCCAGGTGAGGAGCGGAGGTACGAGCCTTGGCGGTAAATCGTGTTTCCAGTCGGTTTTTTTATCCCCACCTTTAAGGGGGCCCTCTCTTGCCCTTTTAGGGTAACCGCGCTGGTGAAGTTCTTAAGTGCTGCGGTCCCCTCGCCGTAAAGTGCACAGGGCTGGACAAAGTCGTCCGTCTGTGTCTCCTAGCAGGCAGCCATGACAAGGCTCTCTTGGCGCGAATTACAAGGAAAACCAAGAAACACTTTTTAAAAAAGATTCGTGCCCAAGACCTGGAGTGACGTTACCGGGGTGGAGCTGTGCGGGGGCTCGAGGACTAGCTCTACGAAGTTGGGGACCCGGGCGTTGGTACCCGGAGGACACGGGGGCACAAAAGTTGGGGAGGTCTGGCCGGGGGTTTCACGAGCACACTTTCCCTCCGGTTGGCGGAAGCGTTAAGACTTTTCTTTATGGCGTCACCGAGTACCTGCCTGTAGAAAGGCCCCGGCTCCGTGACGTCACGCCCCACTGACCAATGAACGGCCAGAGCCTGCGGGCCCCGAGGAGGGTTGTGGGCCCTCCTTTTTGTGAATGAAGCTCCACGGAACATCCCTCCTGGGGGGTCCTGGGGAGCCGCGGCCCGCTGAGCTCGGACGCCCAGGCAGCAGCGTCCCCAGCCGCCGAGGACGCGCGCTCCCCCCGGGCAGCCCCAGCCGCCGGCGCCAGCTGCGAGCCTGCGGCCCGGAGGAGGGTTGTGGGCCCTCCTTTTTGTGAGTGAAGCTCCAGGAACATCCCTCCTGGGGGGTCCCGGGGAGCGGAGGCCCACTGAGCTCGGACGCCCCGGCAGCAGCATCCCCCTGAGAACGCGCTCCCCCGGGGCAGCCCCAGCCGCAGGTGCCAGCTGCGGGGCCCCCGAGGCGCTGGTGGCGGCAGCACGCGCAGGGCCCCTAGCGGCCTCGGCCGAGCAGCCGGGCCATGGTCTTGGTCCTCTGACGGGCGGCTGCCTCCCCGATGAAGCGCAAGAGCGAGCGGCGCTCGGCGTGGGCCACCGCGCCCCCCTGCTCGCGCCGCAGCTCGTCCACCTCGCCCGGCGTGAAGAAGAGCCGCTGCTCCACGCCGCAGCAGCTGCACCGCCTGGACCAGCAGGACGACCTGTACCTGGACATCACCGGTGAGCCGGCGCCGCGCCCCCCGGGCCACCACACCCCCTCCCGGCTCCCGGCCTCCCGAGGCCGCCCCCGCCGCCTCCGCTGCAACTTTCTGCGCTCCGCAGCCCTGGGCCGAAGGGTCACCTTTCCGCACCGCGGGCGGCAGCCCTGCCCTCGGGCCCCGGACGCCTAGGTCCCTGCTCCTGGCTTGCAGGCGCGCTCCGTCCTCACCCTGCTCGCGCCTCCTCGAGGGCGCCGCTCGCTCGCCCCTGGCCAGTGGCCCCAGCCCCGCTGCGTCGTAGGAATGCATGGCATCCCGCCGGAGCCCCTGGTCGTGTCCCTAGTCCTTCCTCGCGCCACCGCGCCCTCCCCAGGGACCTCTGCCCTCCCTCCCCAGACTGTGGGTGGATAGCCTTGGAAGCAGTCGGGTGCGGAATGCCCCGGGGTGTCACTTTTGAGAAATCCCGGGCAGCCTGAGGAGGTAGAGAAGCAGCCTGAGGAGCGGCTTTTCTCAGTGCTACAGGTCCGAAGAAACCCAGTTTGGCCGCCGCAGGCTTCGCGGGGATTGAAGCCAAGGCGTGCGGTAGCTTTCGGTGTGATGGATGTGGAAACGCGGAGTCAGCGGCGTAGCTGTCTGCGGGGCTGGGGGAGTTTGCGGTTTTCTGTGGCGCGGGTTGTGTCTCAGCCTGTGGAGTTTTAGGAAACCATTTCCCCTCCCTTAGCCTTAGGCATTGCCAGGTGGGCTGGATTGGTGACAAACATTCGTTTAGGAAGTGTTCAGACAAGCACAGAAATGCAGTAGAAAATATATTCTGGACTGATGGACAGCTGGAAAGTCAGATCCATTTTAAAGGAAGCTGAGAAGAGAGGGAAGGCTTCTAAGGTTTAAAAAAGGAAGAGGAAGGGGTTGTCTTAAGTACGTGTCCCTGACTGGCTATGTGCCCTGGTCCACTGGTGACCCTGCAGGAGGAAAAGCCAGTTTTACCCAGCCTAAGGCTTTAGATCCTTCTGAGGAGATGTATGCTGGTACCGGTCTGCACATCCCTTCTGGGGTTTCTTACTTGGACACCTTAGAAGGAGCTTTGCTTAGGGGTGGGTTAATATGGGGTCAAGTGAAAAACTCAGTTCTCAGCGTACACATGAATATACAGAGAAGAGTTCGTCTCAGAGCCACAGGAGTGTCCTGTAAATGTAATTAATGTTGTCACATTCTCCTGGGTCTTTCCAGAAATAGCCTGGACACGCACACATAGTATCTATTCTCTGGAAACCCATTGCAGGGCGGCATACCACCTGTTTGGCATTGTTCTGTCGGCACAGTATTTCTTAGCACAGCGCTTGCTTCCTATTGCTGCATCCAAAACCTCATGTGATTTCAATTGCTACCTAGGCCAAAGTGTGTGTGGTTTTAAAGGATAAAACTATACAAAGTTTATGAATTTAGATGTTTTATGAGTTTAGACAGTTCTCTGTTGAAGATTTAGGGATTGCTTCAATAATAAATATTGTCAGTGGTACTGGAACTGCCTTGTACATCCTAGGTAAGCTCTCTAGCACTGATCCACAACCAGCACCCCAGCAGAAAGATTTTTGACAGCGAAGTCATTAGAGTAAATCCTCCTTTTTCGTGGAGATAAAGTGTAAAGTGGTAAGGAAGCCATCAAGGAATTAACCCTAGAAAATGTCAACAACAGAGTACTGAGAGATCTGGTGCGTTTTACAAATATACAATCAAAATACTGTTCAGTTGCCAGCCCTGCTGATGGAAGGGCCCAGCCTTGGTGGAAAGTTCTAGCTCCAAGGGAACAAGGCTCGCAGCCCCCGAGTAATAGTCTCAGCTCCCTAAAACGGTCTATTTCTGTGTGATTTGTAAGACAAATTATAGTAACTTTTTTTTTTTTTTAATACAGGCTCTCACTATATAGTTAGCCCAAGCTAGCCTGGAATTCACTGAGTAATCCACACTAGCCTTAAACTAATCATCCTTCTGCCTTGGCCTCTTCAGTGCTGAGGTTACAGGCGTCAACTCCCATACTGACTGGACAGTAATTTTGGATGCAGAGGTCAGATTACTTTTTACTTTCATTATTTATTCTGTGTGTGATGGGGATGGTGCTGAAGGAAGGAGGCTTAAGGTTTTGTGGGTAGCAAATGGCAGCTGGCACCTTTATTCTTAACTTGTTTTTCCCTCAGTCAGTATTTTCTTAATTTAAAAAATAGTACATGCACAGTTTAAGAAAGTTAAACAATACCAAATGAGATACACAAACATAGTTTGTTCTTTATTTTATCCTTTTCTTTTGTCTTTATTTATTTATTTACATTTGTTTATTTGTATGTTGGTGCATTTGGTGAGCTTGGGCCCTAGTGCAGGTGTGGAGATCAGAAGACTACTTGTGGGAGTCAGTTCTCTCCTTCCACCATGTAGGTTCCAGGAATTGAACACAGGCTGTCAGTCTTGGCTGCAAGTACTCTTACCAGCTGAACCATCTTGATGGCCCCAGGATGTTGTTTCGCGTTTGTTGTTGTTAGGTTATTATGTAGTCCCAACGGGCCCAGAACTCTAGACCAGGCTGGCCTTGCTCTCACAGAGATCCTCCTGCCTCTGCCTGCTGAGTGCTGGGATTGACGGTGTTGCTCAGTGCTATCGTATTGAAGGCCTGAATCATGATTTATTCAATCATAGTAAGTGGGGATCTGGGAATGCCTTAGGTGCAAATGGCTGCAGAGGCATCGGTGTGGGGTGTGCGTAGCTGAGATTGCATTTATAGAGTGAGTTTCTGGAAGTGAAAATGCTGGGCCAGCATATACATGGATGTGTTTCTCACAACTGGATTTGAACTGCATTGCTGCTGTGCACATTTATGTGCAGACTTTTGTGTGGACATGCTATTTAGTACCTTTAGATACATAAGTTGAAGTATAATTCCTTAGTTGAATGATACATTTTACATCCTTCATTTTACATCTTGAGGTACTGCCAGACTCTTCCAAAGTGGATGCACTGTTAGCTTTTCTACCATTGATGTGCCAATAATGTCTACATTCTTGCCAACACTTGTTACTGAATTGGGAAGACTTTTCTGTCTCAGACTTGGTTTGTAACAATTAACGTATGCTGTCTTTTTTGCCTGCTTTGCCTAAAACTTTTATTTGGAGACCTGTTCTCACTAGCTCAGATTACCTCAAACTTGCTATGTAGCTGAGGCTGACTTTGAACTTCTGATCCTCCTGCCTCCATCTCCTGAGTGCTGGGATTGCAGGTATGAATCACCATGCCTGGTTTTATGTGGTGCTGGGAATTGAACTCAGGGCTTCATGTGTGCTAGGCAAGTGCTCTACCAATTGAACTATGTTCCCCAGTCCCTCAGCCTTTCTCTCCAAAGTCTCTTGACATTTTTATGGGGACCTATTTAATTCATAAGTTGGATTCCTGAAGGTACCAGGGTATTTGATGTGTGGCATTTCATATAGAATATTTATGCCTATTTTTCTGTTCCCATCCCCTGCTGTGTGATCTCTCTTCTGTTGTTTAGTGTCTGGCCACCGTACTGCAAAATTGGGGATTTACTCTTACTAGGAGATTACTTAATAGGGATTTAATTCCCAACCCGGCTCAGTTGGGTATTTTTTGTTTATTTGTTTGTTTTGGGGGGTTTTGTTTGTTTCTAACTTGAGCTATATTCCTGGTATACCATGAGAACCAAAGTTTCTAGAGACAGGTGAACTGTGTAATTAAAGTTGCTGAGACCCTGAATAGACACCAGAAGGAGCTATTACTACTCAGGGAAGCAGGGAGAAAAGAGGCAGTAAGGAGGGTCTCCAGTGGATTGAAAACTAGGTAACTAAAGTTGAAGAAATACCAAAACAAACAATTGTTGAACACAGACAGGAATTTGATTTTCTTATGAACCTCCTTGGTGCCAGGGTTTTTCGGTTTTTGCATCCCTTAAATAGGGCCCTCCACTAAATGACAGTGCAAATTTTCCTCTTTGTTAATAGAGTAGAAAGAAAAACCTCTTCCCTTTCCTCCTTTTTTTTTTTTTTTTTTTTTAAAGACAGGTTCTCACTGTGTAACCTTGGCTGGCCTGGAATTCAGAGATCCATCTGCCTCTGCTGGATTTAAAGGCATGCCCCACTATATCCGGCTTATATAGTTTTGTTTGAGAGAGAGTCAGGCTCAGTATAGCCTTGAACTCCATACGTAGCCAATGATGGCCTTGCACTTCTTCTGATCCTCCTGGATTTACCTGTCTAGTGCTGGGATTACATAGCTGGTTTATGCAGTGCTGGGGGCCAAACCCAGGGTCTTGTGCATGGCGGACAAGAGCTCCATTCCCAGCTTCTGCTTTAAATTTCTTTATTCTCTCTCCCTTGAAGTTTTCTGGTGTTTGCCATGACTTAGCTTTTACAGGGTCTGTATCATAACAGAATTTACTGGAGAAACTGTAGTTGAGGTCAGAGGAATCACTTCCAAGCAATGGTTAACCTTGCAGCACTAATACCAAATGAAATCAACAGGCACAGCACTGTCCCCTCCTCTTTCTCTTTAGGAGCTTTCAAATTCACAGTGGACATCATTAGTCTGGGGAAATTTATTCATTAATTCAAGAAGTATTTATTGAATGCTTACTATGTAAAATCCTTATACATATTCATTGTTTGCAGTGATGGAAGTATATTTTTCTGTAGAAGAGGAAATGCTATTACGCTATTAGGAGAACACTGAGCCAGAGGGGGAAATAAATTCATTTTCATTTTTCCATATTGTAGCTAAAGTGACAGAGTTGCAGGATTTGAAACTCATCGCAATACTCAGTGTTCATCTGTCTTCCTGTCTGTGATTTGTTTCTGTACTCTTAAATTTGTGGCATCTTGTGAACTTGTTTTCTTGATTTCTCTGCCTGCCTGATTCTTTGTCTTCTCTGCCTCTTGTGGTTCATGTTATTTGCCTTGAATCTTATTACTTGGGTGTTCCAATAATACATATAGGCAAAAAATTAAGTTTCAAATGCTGCTTGGC